AAATCTTTCTTTCAGATATCCAAACTTTAGGGAGCAGTCATGGCAGATATATAGGTAGAAGAGTAATGTTAGCTACTTACCAATATTGAGCTGTCATGTCCAGATATCAGATGATAGATAAAAGTCATGTCAGATTTCAGATGATAAGTAGAACAGTCGTGTTAGATATCAGATGATATGTAAAACAGTCCTGTCAGATGATAAGTGGAGCAGTCCTGTCAGATATCAGATGATAGGTAAAACAATCATGTCAGATATCAGATGATCGATAGAATAATCATTTACATATCAGTTGATAACTTAAAATGTCATGTCAGTATCAGTTGATAACTTAAAATGTCATGTCAGTATCAGTTAATAACTTAAAATATCATGTCAGTATCAGTTGATAACTTAAAATGTCATGTCAGTATCAGTTGATAACTTAAAATGTCATGTCAGTATCAGTTGATAGGTAGAACAATCATGTCAAATATCAGATGATCGATAGAATAATCATTTACATATCAGTTGATAACTTAAAATGTCATGTCAGTATCAGTTGATAACTTAAAATATCATGTCAGTATCAGTTGATAACTTAAAATGTCATGTCAGTATCAGTTGATAACTTAAAATATCATGTCAGTATCAGTTGATAACTTAAAATGTCATGTCAGTATCAGTTGATAGGTAGAACAATCATGTCAAATATCAGATGATCGATAGAATAATCATTTACATATCAGTTGATAACTTAAAATGTCATATCAGTATCAGTTGATAACTTAAAATATCATGTCAGTATCAGTTGATAACTTAAAATGTCATGTCAGTATCAGTTGATAACTTAAAATGTCATGTCAGTACCAGTTGATAGGTAGAACAATCGTGTCAGAAATCAGATGATCGATAGAATAATCATTTACATATCAGTTGATAACTTAAAATGTCATGTCAGTATCAGTTGATAACTTAAAATATCATGTCAGTATCAGTTGATAACTTAAAATGTCATGTCAGTATCAGTTGATAGGTAGAACAATCATGTCAAATATCAGATGATTGGTAGAACAATCATGTCAAATATCAGATGATAGGTAGAACAATCATGTCAGAAATCAGAAGATAGGTAGTACAATCATGCCAGATATTAGATGATAGATAAAACAGTCATGTCAGTATCAGTTGAGATCTAAAATAGTCATGTCAGATATCAGATGATAGGTTAAACGGTCTTGTTAAATATCAGATGATAAGTAGAACAGTCATGTCAGATATCAGATGATAGATAGAACAATCATGGCAGATATAAGATGATAGATAGATCAGGCATATCAGATAAGTAGAACAGTCATATTAGATATCAGATAGAACAGTCATGTCAGATATCAGATGATAGATAGAACAATCATGGCAGATATCAGGTGATTGATAGATCAGGCATATCAGTTAAGTAGAACAGTCATATTAAATATCAGATAGAACAGTCATGTCAGATATCAGATGATAGATAGAACAATCATGGCAGATATCAGGTGATTGATAGATCAGGCATATCAGTTAAGTAGAACAGTCATATTAAATATCAGATAGAACAATCATGTCAGATATCAGATGATAGTCCAAATGGTGAATAATGTTTATTTTATTAATGTAGTAGTTTCCCTTTAATTCTACAATGCTCAGTGAAATTTTTTGATTAATTGATGAAATAATAGTAGGCCCTATCCCACATTTTTGTTGTTCTGGGAATTTGAAATCAATAAATACATCATTGTCAAGGTCAAGATTGATGTGGCCTACACTGATAAGTTTAATTGATAATAATGTTGATACAACCATTCACATCGCTTCAATAAAAACAATCAAAGACAAATTTGATGGATATATTTTGGGTGTAGTCATAATACATGGTTGATAGTTTCTGTTTGACATCAAAACAACAGTTTGTTTTTTTGACATGATTGATTAAGTTAAAAGTGTGTAGTAAACAAAATAATAATCCACCCCCATACCTGCATTGCAGGGACACTCTAAAGGCAATATCATCAGCCCCACTGTTAGGGTGGGTTCCATGGGAGCAAGTGAGAATTAAGCCCCAACAAAACCTTTTTCAGTTCAGCAGAGATTGATTCACTTACAGCGTCTTTTTACAAAATCAAAAAGATTTTGATACGTTTTTATATATATAGCACCATTTTCTCAGGGCCTTCAATTCTTCAAATTTTTTTAGTATAAAATCTGAGCCCCAGCACCAATTTATTCCTGACAACAGGGCTGAATATCTACTGTCAGAACGTTTTTATTTTGGTAAATCGTATTTTTCCTATCTTATTCAAAGAATTGGATTATCAGTAGAAGTTTGTTCTGTTGGTTTACATTTGAAATAAACCCACTTCACCACTAGACAGTGTTCCTAATATTTGCTGAAAACTGACGACTGTTTAAGCAACTACCAAGAAAGAAAGAAAGAATCAATCAAACAACAATATTTTACAAGGGTAACAATCTAAGTTCAAGAGGATCCTTTCTTCCCAATCATCCTTGGCCAAAACTTTTGGCATTGATCTTTTCCAGATAACCCATACCCATTTACAGGTAGGTTTACTGCTGGCTTACAATTGCTTTTTTTTCACCACAAGCATTTTCAGACTATTGAAACCTTTCTTGAAGCTGATAATCACATTAACATAAAAGTACATTGGTAAAAATTGATTCTGAAACAATCAGACACTCACTGTCAGATATTTATATAATATAAGATACATAATGTTATTAATATACAATTTATTTCTAACATAATAATACATCAAATATTTTAAAATAACTACATGTATCTTCAAAATACTGACAACTCTAGATATGTTTACCACAGTCAGGCATAAATATTTGTGAAAATTCAAGGACAATTCGTAAGAAAGCACAGTATAATCTGGCGGGTACAGATTTAATTACTATTCATTATACCTGAAAATAAAAAATCCAAGTACTTACGATCCAAACACAAAAATAAGCTCCAAATCCAAAATAACAGTTTAGCAATACATTGGTTGCAGCAGTTTCAATATGATTGAATTTTCCCTGAATGTGCACAAATATATTTGCTGGACTATGAAGCATTCAAAACAATGAATAATATAATATATGACACTTTTGACTGACTAGTTTATCAAATACATATTACCTGTAACTTATTTATACACCCCAATTTTACACTTAATACATAGATAATATTAAGGTATCTTGAAAGAAAGATATAGTCACCTAGTGTTAGCTTTACCAGATGGATCTTAATTTAAACTACCCAGAGCACTTTACAGAATTAAAATCTGTGTTGTAGTTTAGACAATTAGACAATTGTTTTCATTAATGGTACTTTTAATTAACTTGTATTTATTCCCTTTAATATGACACATATTGATATCTATCTTATTGGAGATGCATCAATAGAGATACATTGTCATCAATGATGTAAAATGATTTTTCAGTCATAACAAGATTTCTGCCTCAATGATTTTGAACATACATAAGAAGAATCAAACAAAATGAATGAAAAAGTAAAGTTGCACTCAGAATGAAATTTTCCAAATTGAAATATCTTGACAACATCTTTTAAAATGGACCATTAAATCAAAAAAATGGCCAAAAAAATTCATTTGCACCAATAAAATCACGAGAATTTGTCATCTAAACACAAACAAAAACACAGAATAATGTTGGTTTGGGTTTATTTATTGATGTTTTGAGCCAATTTCTTTGTGCAGCGTTTGTTAACATATTTTTCTACGGAATTGAAAAAAATATCAAAATAGTTTGCACTCTAGATTATTCAACAACAGAGTACAAGATTATTTGAAATCAAAAGAAAATGCGTGACCCAACATGAACTTTGGACTGTGATACCCTGTAATGGATGACAATAGTCACGTGAAGAAAAATCTTTGAAACAAAACATCTAGAAGATGCATTTTAAAAAGATTGTAATAATACATGGACAACTTTGGTTCGCAGGATCCTGTCCACCAGCTAATCCTAGGACAAACCTCTTGACATTGATATTTTTTCAGAGTGTTTGACCCATTTTCAGCTGGGTTGACTAGAAGAAATAGATGAGAATCCTAGACTTCCATTTTCCCCAATTTTCAAAAAAATCTCAACATATATTTTAGTTAAGAGTCTGATGTTTGTATGAAACAGAAACTTTGCAAAAAAGATCACACAATTCTTTGTAACAAGCTACAGCTCACACACCAAAATTAACAATCATCACAAAATCAAATTAAATTATCAAACTTAACATATTTCTTAATAACACACGATAGTTAAAAAATATAAATCACATAGTTAACATAACTTAACATATAAAATTTAAAACATGTCATTACTTAAATAGACATACCCACTTTGTTATGTAATGTACAGTAACACACTTTAATGTCCACAAGTTTTACTTTAAAACAAATATGATATGTAAAAAAAAGAAATGAATTCGAGAATTCTTATTTCATCCATTAGTACGTAAAATAGGACAAAACTTTAACAGAAACACATCAAAAAGGTTTTTAGATTTCAAGTTAAAAAGTTAAAGTCAATAATTCAATAACCTGTTAATTTGTATGATCCAAGGTAAAAAGTAATTCAGTTACCATCACTATACACTTTTACTTTTTTTTTATCACCAGGAAAAACGTTTCATTCTGAATCATTATTTCTTTAAGCCTTTGAATAGTAGTTTTTTTTATCAATAACATATGATTCTTAATCTACTAAAGGTGTCATCACCCTAGTTGGTGCATGGTTGGTCAGTAGCATTTTCTTATTCTCAATCATACGCAACTGGTGATCGTAATGGTGTGCGGCCACCTTTAGGAAGCAGAAGATCTACCTTCTGCAAAGGAATAGAATGACGCTGAATTTTTAAACCTTAATTTGGTCCACCATTGTTCCCCTTCACTCTTTTCACATTGTCGATATGTAACACATGCACATCAATTCATATCGTTATATAATCCAACAGATTATTCTTGTTGTTCTCGACACAAATCACATCTCTGTAGACCATTATCATCACACTGCATACATCGTAAGGCACAAAATTCTTCCGTAAAATGATTTCTGTGAACAGATTTTTTACTTCCATGACAAATTATACAAGGTATGAATCTATAACCACCACATTTTCTACAATTTGATGTCACTATCACTTTCTGAAAATATCAAAATAATATATTTTAATGAAGAAAGGTTTCCATAGCAAAAAGAAAGTACATTAGAATAAGGATCTGACTTCAATGAAAAAAGAGACTGTAACTAGGTTAGACTTTGTATCAATTGCTAAATTTTTTGCAGCCCATTAAATGGAATTCAAAGAAAAAGGTGACAATATATTATCAACTGCAAAATATGATTAAAAACCATTTTATGATTCCAAAATTTCAAATTGCAAATGAGCTCTTTCACTAATCGTTTTTGGTTCTATTTATGTGATTCAGGGACACTTGTATCTACAAATTGTCCCATTTTGATTTCTATATCTGTGGTGTCTGTTATTTCAGAAAATTTACAGGGAATGTAAAGAGGCTTTCTAAATTTCACATGTATCACTGACACTGATAACATTGATTTGTATCATTTCAATTTTCAATCAGACGTGTGTGATTCTTACAATTCCACTAAATTTTAGTGTTCTATGATGTCCATGTTACAAAAGTTGCCTATGATATATAAAAACTTTTGCGATAGTGACATCATAAAACACTTACTTAGTTTTAGTGGAATTGCAGAAACCACAGACTTATGACTGAATATTCAAAGATGCAAATCAATGTTAACAGTGTTCCTGATAGACAAAAAATTAAAAATCTCTTTACAATCTCTTTAACCACATTGTGATGTCTCACTATGACTAAAACCATTCAAGATAAATCGTATTTGTAACAGAGACGCCAAATTTTTTTCTGGAATTACTCAACCAATGAAATGGAGAGAATTGCACAAATAGAGGCTATAAGTGTCTCCTTTGGTGTTTTTTTCGGCAGATGTGATATCAACTTATAATAGATAATAATGGTAGATAATAATAATGTTTATAATAATAATGATATCATATAACTAAGTCAATATCTTATATCAACCTTATTATTATAAAACTTCCTTTTCTAAGGCAGACGTGATATTCTAATTGAAAATAACAAAAACTTGTGATAGGTGAAAAGTGATCTTAGATGTTTTGCCTCATGAGAGTGACCCTTTCAACTTAGTTTGAGATAGTGGAGATACTTTATTAGTAAACTTGTAAAGTAAATGTGGATTCTCTAAAAGAATCTTGAATTGACAGACCTAGTGTAAGAGTTGTATCAGGTGTTTAGGGGTATTGACAGACCTAGTATAAGAGTTGTATCAGGTGTTTAGGGGTATTGACAGACCTAGTATAAGAGTTGTATCAGGTGTTTAGGGGTATTGACAGACCTAGTATAAGAGTTGTATCAGGTGTTTAGGGGTATTGACAGACCTAGTATAAGAGTTGTATCAGGTGTTTAAAAACATCAATAATGTAAGAAATAAAATAGAGTTTTAGAGCCTTCTTATTTTTTTTTTTTAAATGTCAAGGATCTTCAACTTGCATAGTCTGTAGCACACAAGAGTTTGTGTAAGTATGTTTTTCAGCTACTTAATTTTCACAATGTCAACATATTATAAACTTCATGTCATACCTTGACTGCAATAGTCACTGTTCCTGTATCACAGGCATTTGTAAATGTAGTGATTTAGTTGGATGGTATATTACCAAATACAGCCAATCAGAGCCCCAGACAGAAGGTCTGTAAGCAATATGCCATAATGTTTACAGTCTGTCTGGCGAAGGCTATGATTAGCTGTATACGCTGGTGTACTGCATTCTGTGATATAAGTAAGGTGGCTATTGCAGTCAAGGTATAAGACAAAGATTGTAATAGCGTGACATTGTGAAGATGCAGCTAGCTAGTTATATCCCTGACAGAATACCAGTTGAAAAATCTATAGTATCCTGCTCTATCCAGGCAATCTAACCTTTTGGTAACTAAGTAATTTCTAACTCACTAAGGTTAGAAAGAATGATAGTATAAGATTATCTATTCTATTTATTTTGTATCTATTTCATCTATTTATCAATAGTTAGTAATATAATATGTATTTAAATTGAAATATAATATTGTATCTATTTATCTAACAAAACCTCCAATAATCACTTCAAGTCTTATCATTGTAATAGAAACTCAACTATTTTTTCATCTAAAATTTCACTTTCTAACTATCAAAGTTGGATTGGGATTTTGTCCTAAAAAAAAGTATTCTAGAATCTCCAACTTGATTTGTGAGATCTTCATCATGTCTGTGACAAGCGGTGTTAATTTTATTTTGGCAATTTGACCAAGACTAAATTTGAGCTTAATTATAATAAGTTCAATAACTGGTGTTGCTAGCTAGACAGTGTGAGCTCAATCATCAGGAACACCTGATATCATCAACGATAGGCTTTGTCAACTATGCATCCTTTATAAATAGTCTGCCATTACTGTTTTCATTGTCTTAGATATATATTGGTATGTTTTTTAGAACTATGACATCATGTGCCAAAATGTTCAAGGCAACTCATGATGTATGTGAGTCAACTAATGCCAGAACTTCTGGCTTTTCCTGGATATTGACCAAAGATTGGTTTAATGGCGCTGTGCCAACAGTTTGAATGGATTGGAAGGTTTTATTTTAATTTTTTCAGGTATAATAAATCAAAGGGGTTTTTATCTGGATACAAATGGATATTTCAATGTGTCATGGTGATTGTGCTAAATTATTTGTATCAAGCATCATGCAGTCAAAATAAATCATTCCATCAAATAATGAAAATGCCAACTTGAAAATCAGTGGTCAAGGCAATCATTAATTGTTTTGTAAATAAAATTAGTATTTACCTTTCTTGGCTTATTTGTAAATATAAATCAAATAACAATATATTAAAGTCACAACTCAAAAACAATTCACAAAATTTGGCAGAAGATAAGACCAGTCTTACTGTTGCCATGGATACAACATGAGGATTGTTAGTTGTAGCCTGTATTCCTTTTGGGCTAAGTACCCGGCTGGATATGTCCGTCAAAAAGAGTCGATTCAACAAAAAGATCCAGAAATTGTTGCTAAAGATTAAAAAATCCAAGAAAAGAAAAACATGGCAAAAGCGTTACTTACTGGGTAATTATGTAAGATATTTCTTAGTTCACCAGATTCATTTAATTTTTCTAATTCTGCAGCACCCTGAAAAAATTACAAGTTCATTCATTGGTAAGACCATTTCTAGCTCACTCCTATAAATTATCTATTAACAGAATGGTCTAAGAACATTGAAATTAATAGGTTTGATATGATTTCCACTTTTCTGCTTGTAAAGAAGACAGGAAACAATGTGTACTGGGGAAAATTTTGCCAAAACAATGACATTGTAATACTACTTTTCAATCCCAAACACTCAAGGAATCTTGTGCAGCCTGTTTGGTTTACTCAAATTCTACAGACCTAACCCCTTCTGAAGCAACAATAGTGTTTCAGTCAATAATGAAGTCCATAGAGCCATATCTAGTAGCTTTATTAGACAAATTTTGACAATTCAAACTTTATTAAGTAGTATCTTGTCATTTGAACACAACCAAGCACAACGAAAAATAAAGCCATTAAAGAAAATCAACATTAAACTCAAATTTGCACCGTCATGACCTAAATTAAAGTTTGATAGTTAAAGAAAGTCTATAAAAGATGTAGAATTTGATTAAATACAATCAAGAGCCAACAAGTCAATATTGGGTTGGCTAACTAGTAAAGGAAGTTCAATGTACTGGTGATACACTAGTTCATGGTCAGTATCCAGTGTGATGGTTCATAGGTGCACTGGAGGATTCTCTCCTGCCCAAAATATTTTTGTCAATTGTCAAATGGTTAATAGTATGCAATACTTTCTTATAACTACTAAACTTTATGAGCAGTATGTCTAGCTTGGATGAAACTAATAAATTATCTCAGTCTTTCAGGTAATCCCATTTTCCTACTCATTGGAAGGAATAGTTAACTGAGAACATGTATGCCTGAAGATCCTTGACAGCTATTAATTGATAAAGTGTAGGCTAATGGTGCTGTTCTGGCACTACCTTATTTTTTAGACAATATATATAGCACTATATAATAGCATTAGATCTTGACCTTAGAAAGTGAGAGCTGGCTCAAAATGTCAAAGCGTATTAGTGAAACAAGGCTCTTACAGCCACCAGGTTTCTGTGATACAAGCAATTTTTGATCAAATCAAAACATACATGAGTCAAGTATGTACGGACTAGCTCTGACCATCGTCTGTGGCTACAACCCTGGAACAAGTGCAGTATTAGCCTCCCAAGACCGGGGTTAAACATAAGGGGCAGACTGACTCAATGTGGGGTCAACTATCCATGCACAATTCAAAATGCGGCAAACTTTGGAGGCGTCTTCTTGTAAACCTCTCATGGAGCATCTTAGATGGTTCTCACAAGCAAAGTTTTGAAAATTCAATTGATTTTGTGCATTCTGACACATATTTTAGGGCAAAAAAATATATATAAATCATATTTCTTTGTTAAAAACATAAGTATGGGTATAATTTTTCAATTGCCCTCCACCACCTGTTCCTCCACTACTGCCCTGGGGTGTCTCTTTACCGGTATCTGTACCTACCCCAATTAATTCACCATCAGCAAAAACTTGTGGTATTCTTATATCATTACTATTTACACGTTCTGTAAGTTCTTTCTGGTTTTCTTTACTCATATACAGATCTCGTTCTTCATATCGTACCATATTAGTTTGTAATATATTCCGTACTACTTTACATTTCTCATGTGTATGGCGTACCACTGACATACTAGTTGTATAAATGACTATTTTATCTTTCTCTAATACATGGTAATTTCTCTGAAAATAAGAGAGAATAAAAGTTAGATATCTCCATAAAACTATAAATGTTTTTATTTGGTAAAAATACTATCTTTATGAAATAAAACCATTCTCATTGATATAGCCTTGTTTAAAGCAAGGCCCCTTATCAGTAAATACATGGGACTGGGGTTCACTTAATAAAAATAGTTTCGTATGAGGAGGTAAATTTCAATCAAACAAAACAACCTTTTCCATATGAGAGGGGCTGCCCGTACTCATGTCACTTTCATGAGTTTCGACCAATCAAAACTGTCTATTGCACATATTCATATTTACAAAACAAACAGTAAAAATGATCATGTGGAAGCGTTTTGAATATCTAGTATAAGGTTCACCCACTACAGTGAAACATGGTAGAAAATTTGTATGTAATAGTTTTGGACAAAAGTTTTACAAAATCAAATCTCTGTATTTTATAACCAAGTTCATTAATTTTTGAAGTCAATGACTCTATATCAAAAAGTCAAATAAATGAAATAAATATGCCCTATACATTTTCAGTAAAAGTTGAAGAAAAAATCTCTACGATTTTCAAAACAATTTGTACTATAAAACATGACACGAAAATTGTATTCAAAATAGATATTCAGATGAACCTGCACCCAATTATGTCTTACAAATATCTTATAATTAATCATAACAACATAAAAACTGTATATAGGTTAGCAGGTTTAGAAAGGAAATATAAATCATAAACTTGTTTTACAGGTCTGACTAAAAATATAAGATAGCTGACAACATTATATAGTGGTAATATATCATATAAAACATCTTAAAACATTACATTACAATTATTAACTCCCAAAAAATATATCTCATAAAACAAGATCCACAGGTGACTAATTGATGTAGTCTACTTAATATGCATTACATTTTCTCAATAATTAAAAGACTAATTAACTTGTTGTGATAAGGTGCATAGTGGAACAAAGAGAGTTTGATCTCTTCAAAAGTTAATATTCTGCTTTTGTTTAAACCAGGGGGTTTAACAACAACAGGTAATTACCCTATCCATATCTCTTGTCTGAGAAGCTCCTCTGATGTGTATCATTTATAGGTGAGAAACAGTGTCTGTAAGATCTTAAGGTATCTAATTCAAAATATACATGATGACCTCTAGGTTACTTAGTACATGCAAGGTTACTGGCTACTGCACCTTAATAAACCTGCCTAACCACTACCTGATAAAGTCGTGACTCTAGACGCTTGCTCACTAACCTGAAGGTCCAGGATTCAATCCCAGCATTAGCGAGATATTACCTTCAGAATTTTCAACCTAGGTACGAAGGTGGCGGGAAAGTGTCTATTCGTTCAGATGGGAAAATTAACCGAGGCACAAAGGCTGTGCACATTAAAGATCCCTTGACAGCTGGTAATGCCACTGCCCAGGCAAAATAACCCTCATTGCTCTGCCTGCCTTTAACTCCATTTAGTAACAGAATAGTAAGATAGACATAAAACTCCATTAATTTCATTTCACTTCCTTGAGTGGCATTTAGTAATTGATGATATTAACACGAACACAATTATATGGATAACAATTACTTTAATAAATAACTTGCGGCGTTTCGACGATGATTCTTTCTTCTTTATCAAGCAATGATAAAGACGAAAGAATCATCGTCCAAACGTCGCAAGTTATTTATTAAAGTAATTGTTATCCATATAATTGTGTTCGTGTTAATTCCATTTCAATTTATTTGATGAATCATCATGTTAAACATTCATTAAATCTATCAGGCTCATATCAATTTACCTGTTAATGGTGTTTTTTCATCAGTTTTATATTTCTCATTGATATTTCTAATATAAAATAAAATCTGTATCTGCATAGAAAATTGAATGGTTTTTCTGATATATTTAGCTCAAGCAACTCTAATTAACAAAACAATCCATATTTTAGAATTTAGATAATTAGGCGATATGATTTATTATTTTTTTTTCACAAGTTTACAAGTTTACAGAAGGATGTTACAACATTTAAATCATTTACTTCTTCTGTTTTCATATTTCTGTTATATGTTATAAACAGAGTAAGATAGTCATTTTACAGAGAGATGTAAACAACAGTAACTTGATCATAGAATTCTTCTTTTTTCATAATTCTGTTCATGTAAAACAGATAAACGGTTTACAGAAGCTGTAACAACACTTAATTCTTTAAATTCTTCCATTTAATTATGCATATTTTGTACAGAGATAGATGGGCATTTGACAGAAAGATGTAAACAACACTAATTTGATGACAGAATTCTCTTGTTTTCATAATTCTGTACATGTAAAACAGAGATGTATTGACAATTCTTCTGTTTTCATAATTCTGCATATTATAAACAGAGAAAAGTTTACAGAATGATGTAAACGACAGTAACTTCTCTTGTTTTCATAATTCTGTTCATAAAAAAACCAGAAACAGTTTATAGAGGATGTAACATCATTTAAATTCATTATTCTGTATTCATAATTCTGCATGTAGTATACAGAGTAATAGTAAGATGGGCATTTTACAGAGAGATGTAAACAACAGTAACATGATCATAGAATTCCTTTGTTTTCGTAATTCTGTTCATGAAAAACAGATTAAAGTGAACAGTTAACAAGAAGAGGTCCCCCTGTTTCCATAATTAATAATAAACAGAGAAGGAAGAACAGTTTACATAAATATGTTAACAACAATTATAAGATCAAATTTTTTTGTTATCAAAATTCTTATTTGGGTTTAACATGAAAATGGAACAACACTGTGGACACCTTGACTTACCATCTCCTCTACACCACCTTGACCTTCCTACAAACACAGAACAGAAATCATCAATTAATATACTGTAAAAACTTAAACTGTCAGCATAAATAAAACCAAAAGACTTTTTAGACAAATTAGACCATCAAGCCTATAATGGCTTTGGCTCAAAAAAGTCACCAAGATAAAGTTTAGCTAAATTGCCACCATAAATTGTTTGAAATATGACAAATTCTCTTTTTCCGCCAAATATTAAGGTCAATATATATTTAGTCATAATTTATCTACATGTTCATAAAGAAGGCAATATTTCATCTGTTTTAATTACTTAGTCTTCAGAACATTGAGAAATACACAAACAGCATGAATATTTGTTGGTTTTACAATGTCTTGAGTCATAAAAAATAAAAATGCCCCTTGATGAAAAAAATAAAATTTGAGATAATATTTTCCATTCTAAATAATTTTCAAAACTATTTTTTATTGGTAAGTGTTTCATGTCTTGTTTTTGATGGAACATATCACTGTTTTTGATGGAACATATTATCACTGTTTTTGATGGAATATATCACTGTTTTTGATGGAACATATCACTGTTTTTGATGGAATATAACACTGTTTTTGATGGAATATATCACTGTTTTTGATGGAATATAACACTGTTTTTGACTGTTTTTGATGGAATATATCACTGTTTTTGATGGAACATATCACTGTTTTTGATGGAATATAACACTGTTTTTGACTGTTTTTGATGGAATATATCACTGTTTTTGATGGAACATGTCACTGTTTTTGATGGAACATGTCACTGTTTTTGCTGGAATATATCACTGTTTTTGATGGAATATATCACTGTTTATGATGGAACATATCACTGTTTTTTGATGGAATATATCACTGTTTTTGATGGAACATCTCACTGTTTTTGGAAATTATTCCAACAGATAAAACCAAAAATACGAAAGACTGGTATGTTAACACCGCTGCATTTCAAGTGCACGCAGACTCAAATATTTTAAAGATCAGTGCAGCTAGTTGTTTAAGAGACAGGTTAAATTTCTCTATTGACATTAAATACTATCAAACATTGAACAAGATTATTGAACAGACAACAGTCTAGTAATCTGGTGTAACTGTCTAGTCTAACGGAAGCTGGTTTCAACAACTGTAATCCTTCCTGCAAAAAATATCAGGTTAAATGTTGTTTTTTAAACACAAGTAAAAGGCAGAAGCAGATTTCAACATTTTTAATCCGTCCTTTAAAAAATATATCAAATAGTTTTTTTCACATACACACAATTAATTTGTTTTTTATTTTGTCCCCCTTCCTTAAAGACACAGGTAATTTAAAAACTGCGTAATTTTTTACACTTTTTGCTTCCTTATGGGCAAAGTTACTTGAAGCAGAAGGGGATACCAGCTCATACACTTGGGAACAAATTATTCAAGGAAATATCACTAGCCCAAAGCAGGTCATAACCATTATGCAAACAACAAATTAATACCAAGATTTAATTAAAATGATCAACAGAAAAAATGTTTTTCATGAAAAACAAGTTTCATCATGAAAAACAAGTATCAACATGAAAAAAATAAGTATCATCATGAAAAACAAGTATCATCATGAAAAACAAGTATCAACATGAAAAACAAATGAAAAACAAGTATCATCATGAAAAACAAGTATCAACATGAAAAACAAGTATCATCATGAAAAACAAGTATCAACATGAAAAACAAGTATCTTCATGACAAACAAGTATCATCAGGGAAGACAATTCCATAAATTATGCTGGAATTATTGGAACTATGGATAATGAAATGCTTCGAAAATCTCAGGGCCACAAAACATTTGCTCAGCTTAGTTTTAACTCAAATTCAGTATATCCCTTGCATCAAGGAAAGGTAAAATTTGAAGATATTTTAGATATAGCTAGAAATATTGTGCCCTGTGGAATACATTGATATATTTGTCTTTGAAACAATCAGTTCTGCATCTGTAAGACCTGCTTCAAACTGAATACAATCTAAGCTAAGTATGTAAAAAGTTTGTAGCCCAGGGCGGAAGTTGGCTAGATAATTTGACCTTGAACATGGTGAGAGCAGGTGGTTTATACACCAACTTATTATTGAGAACACTAATTACTTCTGATTATGACAACCATATAGTGGTACCAATCAATAATAGAATACCTAGTATTGTTACCTATATTAATTAGTGTACTATTACTGT